ACCATCCACTCTTTCTCACGAAAATTAAAGCCTTTTCCTGGTTACCGAGAGAAACAAATAACCCAAACTCCGAGGCCTACTCAAAAGCCACTTTGAAGTTCAAAGACAATTCAAAGTCCAAGAAGAATATAGTAGACCAACGTTATTGGTAAGGCTATCAACATTCCAAATATTACCCTGCATCCATTTCCACCACCATCACAACAACAACATATGTTATTAAACTATTTTGCACCAAACAAACAATAACAATTACTACATTAAAGGATTAATTGCAACTTACGCAGTGCTGAGAATCGTGGGATGCACATTGTACTCTTTAGCAAACACAAACGGGACTATTCCTTGAGGCAAAGCAGCCTATAAATTATAACACACACACTCAATATCATCATCAACCATGCTAAAGAGTACATTAATCATATAAGTAATGATATTGTCATACCTGAACGATGGCTATACGAAGTAGGTCGCCGTGTAAACCAATGGCGATGGAAGCAACAGCCATGATTGCTGGACCGGTTAAAAATCTAACGGCCATGGCGAACGTAGCGACTGAGTTCCCACAAGCAATGATTTTAGGTTGAAGTGCCATGAACAAACCTTAAAACCACACCCAAAAAAATCATTAAAACAAATTAATTAAAGAAATCGACAGCAAAAAGTTAGGTGAGCTACTTAGTGAGACCCAAATAAGTACACACAGCCACTGGCTCGGTGTAGGGACAAGACCCCACCAACATGTCTGAGTCCGGATTAATTCTCTTTGGGTAAGTGCATTGTACAGTCCCTTGTATGACTTTTAACTAATCACAAAGCTGGACAATTACGACTAACTAAACAAAACCCAGACCCACCATTTGCATATACAGATATGCATGAGAACAAAAATGGACCCAACATTATGGTTTATAATCTTAAGTATCATGATTAGATGATCAAAAAAGAAATGGTGATTACCTAAGCTGAACATAGCCATTCCAAGACCAGCATCTGAGAGTATGGAGATAGATTGTTGTAGTATTTTAGGCATAGCCACATGCCACCTGCTTTCCAAAAATAACCCATACACACATTACATTATTACTCCACTTACAATTATTCCATTCCATGCATACAAAATCTATTACTATAATAAATATTTCCTTATCCATAACCAAGTAACAAAAATAAATGATTGGAGTGACTGACTGACTTACCGGTAAGCAACAAGAGCCCATATGAGACCGATGAGACTTGAGTAAGTGTTTGGGTTTCTTATCAGTTTTCTCCATACCATTATCAGTATCAGCCTCGTCATCACACTTGTAGGCGGCATATGTGTAATACCCGTTCCTCCGCCACCGGCCGCCTCTAACTCCGCCGTGGAATTGGTCCCCACTTTGTTCAGCCCTGTAGTAGCTTTCTCTATCTCTCTTTCACCTTCTCCATCTTCAATATCATCACCACCACCTAGCAAATACCAGAATCACAATCACACAAATTAAGTTTATAGTTAAATGATCCAATATTTGATTCAAAAGTATTATTACTATTTCAACCTCTAGCATCACTCTTTCGAGGTTGATCAGAGACAACCATCCGTATTTCCTTTGCTCCTTGTTCAGATTGCTCCGTCGCCACGTGTTCACCTCCGGTACCGCCGCCGAACACGTCGGAAACCGGCGAATTGCTGGAGCTCCAAACAAACATGTGAAGCTCCTTAGAGTCATGGCTTCCTTTATTCTCCAGATTTTGGTTTTCTTCAGTGATTTTATTCGGTTTAGCCGTACCAGAAGAAAACTCCGGGTTCGGAGCCGGGTACGACCCGGCTGTTGCTGGTGGTGCTGGAGCAGTACTGTTCGGGTAAAACCCGTACCGGTTCTCTTCAAAATTCGACGGCCGTGGAGTCGGACCACGGGAAGATTGAACGGAATACAGATCCGCCGGACCGAAATTAGACAATCTCCCACCAGGAAACCCCATCACCGAGTAAAAATCAGAATGATTGAAATTGGAACCTCTCGGAGTCGAGTTTAAGCTATAGATCTCAGCTCCAGTCAGATTCGAAGGTCTCGGCGTCATCATCGACGACCTCCTCGAAGCGTTCGATTTCCTAACCGTCACATGAAGCTTCCCGTCGTTTCCGATTTCAGCATCCGTCTCTAAAAAATCATGACCGTCTAGCGAAACGACGTCGGAATCGACTTTGAACGAAACAATCGAAGCTCCTGTCTCCGGGAATTGCTCCATAATCAGAAGCTTCGCACCACGGTACTCGAAGAGGAAGAGAAGCAGAGTATACCAGATGATACACTGAAGAACAACGACCTGAACCATTAGAGATCCGGCGTAAGGTCCGTACATAGCGATTAACAAAGGGATTCCCATGACTAGAGTGTTTGGGAGTGTGCTTAGAGAGAAGATTGTTATCATCCACTCTAAACTTCCGGATTTAGTCAGATTCGACCATAAACCGAGCAAAACGAGCATGATGATTTTCTGAAGCGTATCGGCGGCGATGAAACGGAGATTCATGGCGTAAGGATCGTTGGTGGAGATGAAGTGGAAAGAGAGGAGAGGGACGGCGAAAATAGCGACGAATCGGTTGATGCCGGAGCATTGATCCGGTGAGAAAATCTTCCACCAACGGACGGATCCGAAAGCGAGAATCATGGCGACGTAAAGCGGCACCACGGCGGTGAGAACGGTGTACAAATCGTGCCACGTAATCATTTTTTTTCCGGTTCAGTGAGAGGAAGAAGACAGTGGCATCTGAGGGGAAATTAGAAGGAAGAGGAAGGGTAAAATGGGAAGAATAAAAGAAACCGTTAAGAGAGAGAAATAGTACTGTACTACTAGTAAATTGTAGAAGAAGAAGAGGATGATTTTATAGGGAGGGGCTTCTTCTTGCGTAGGACAGTGACAGTAGTAGTGTCATCATCACTCATTAGCACACGATTACGTTCTTAATTAATCGAGTGAGGATTAAAAAAGGTAGTTTTAGTTGAGTGGGGACACGTGGCGATACCCATGTGGGGGAGTTTTCTGGAGGAGACGTGGACAGTTTTTATGGGAATAGTCGTGCTTTTGCTTAAACATTTTCTGATTACAAAAGTAGTCAAGCTTTTTCCAAACCTGCGAAAAACTTGGCCAATTTTTTTGTTTAAATAAATATATCACTTGACAAATAAATAGCTATCACGAATAATCCGATTACTGTATCTGTGTAATCGTTTTCTTGTAATTTCAACTTGGATTCCATTTTCAACAAAAAGCGGTACTCAGAGAAGCAACGAAAAATTACAAGAAGTACAAATGTCATTATTGGTTAGGTCGAAACACTGGTGAATCGTTGAATTAACAACAAAACATTTCAGTTGCAATGACTACCCCTATGGATTC